TTTGGGTAGGGGGCAGAGATATTGTAAGACACAAAGCAGGCATCAGCCGGGGGCTCAGCTGGACATGTAGCAGGTTCTTGGAGGCTCGTGTGCTGCCCCAGTGTCTCTGTGCTCCAGGTCCCACCCGGCCTGTCACCCTCTTTACCTTTGTGGTCCTCCTCTCCTGCATCATCTTCTCCTTCTTTGGCCTCTGCCTGAAGAAGCTGCAGCCACGGAAACCCTCCAGCTACCAGGTGAGTGCAGGCAGCTGCCCACGTTGTTCCTTCACCCCACTGCATCCTCTCCTTGAATCTCTGGGGTTCATTTGCCATGGGGAGTCTGAGGCAGCACTTGGCTGTCCCCAGCCAAAGCTGGGACTCCCAAAGCACTATTTCCTCCTGGCCTCCCTCTCCTCAGATGTCTGACCAGTCTGAGGGCAGCTTCAATGACGTGGAGCGGAGCAGTGTTTCCTCTACCCCTAACTCCAATGTGAGTACCCCTCCCCAGCCCTGCTTTGACTCCTGCCTTTGTTCCTCTGCATCCTGATGGCCCACTGCCCCCCGGGGCAGCTTTTTGTGGCCACTGTCCTGCAGGAGCCTGAGCTGAGCCTGACGCCAGCAGCCTCTCCGGCACACCAGTCCTATGGCACCATGGGCAACCATCTGGAGCCAGGAGAGGATGGGGAGGATGGGGGGCTGCAGAGCTTCGAGACAGAGCTGGAGACAGTGGAGGGCGAGTACAGAAGCGGCCCTGTGATGGAGAGCCAGGCTCGCTACCAGTGAACATCCATGCTGCCGGCTGAGGACCAACCGTGCTGAGAATGGAGAATGTGCCATGGGGCAGGAAGGAGCCTTCCCAGCACTGGTGGGGGCCATCTCTCTGATGGCACAGGGGGTGACAGGACTGATGTGAGGGGGAGACCTATTGCATGGGAGGTGGCAGGAGGCTCTGCTGGTCCTTCCCGCTGCCTGGACTGGCTGAGCCCCCTAATGTCCCCCTGTCACCACCTGCCTCTTCCAGCCCACAGTGGGGAAGAGAGGGTGCAGCAGTATAGGGAGAGGGTCTCTCTGAGAGGCCATGCTTTTGGGGGCAGGAGGAAGGCCCTTGCCCCTCTTTGAGAAGGAAGCAGCCCAGACAGCACAGACGAATGTGCCCACCACCACATGGTCCTGTGGGTCCTCAGTGGCAGAGGACAGCCACCTCTAACCCTTGCATCCCACCCCACCCACCCACTGCTCAGGCAGCCATCTCACTACCTCCCCTGCTGCTGGCCATCCAGGCTGCTGCCTGCCCCTGCTTTGCCCATTAAAGCAGAGACTGCTGACATGCGTGTGCATTGGTGGAGGAGGTGAGTGCCCAGGGCAGCTCCTACATCTGCCTGAGCACCAGTGGCCTTGCCCCAAGGCAGGCATCAAATGCAAGCCCAGCTCTTCCTCAACTTCTCACCCCATCCTTCCATCTCGCTACACTATGCCTACACCCTTGGGCTCCTGGGGAGAAGTGGGACATCAAGGGACAAGTCTGTTTAATGGCTACAAGAGCAGCTCCTTGTCATTCCTCTCCCCTGGCAGTATCCCCCTCGTGCTCATGCTCTCCGTGGGGCTGCCCATGACACCCAGCATGGCTCTGTCCTGTTGCAACAGAAAAGCAGGGTGAGGGCTAGCAGGACCCAGACTTCCAGCTCCTCCTGGTCCACCACATCCTGCCTGCCCTCACCCATAAGCCACAGCTGTGGGATGCTCCCCCAGCAGCCACACTGCCTCTCGAGTGTGAGTCCTGCTGTGGTTAGTGTAAGCGCCAATTCCTGCCCAGACAGCATCCCTGGAGTTTTCCAGCTCGGCCAGAGTATCTGTGGTGGCCGCTGGGGACGAGGGCTTATCCTCAGCCTGCTCAGTCCCTCTCCCACCATAGCCCACCTGGGCATGCTGGCTCCTTGCTCAGCCCTTCTTAGGCCTCAGGGCTGATTTTCCTGTCCTTGATTCTTCTGCTAGCTTCAGAGCAACTCAAGTTGCCACCATCCTGGAGTGGGGAAGGGAGGATAGTGCAGCTCTGCCAGCACCAGGGCTGCCGGAATGGTGAGTGCTGCTGTGCGAAGGCAGGTGCTCAGCTATGGCACTGCTCAGTATTAGTGGTGCCACTGGTGGGGGGGGGCATAGCGTGCCAGATCTGGGCGAGGGGGGATTTAAAAGACAGCCCAGAAGCAAGCTGTGGGTCTCAGTTGGACTCAAGTGGACCTGGGACATTCCTGTGATGCTGGTGGGTCTCGGCCCAGCCAGCTGGCAACCCCATGGCCCCAGTCCCACCCACGCTCCTGCATGCTAGGGCAGTGGCTGCAGTACACTGTCTACCCAAGCAGTTGCCTCAGGTGAGTCTTGAGCTCAGCTGCTCCCTCCCAACCCCAAAAAGTATCCCAGGGGTTTGGTGGCTTCCTGCCCACATGCCCCCATGGCTGTCCACAGCTCAGCCACTGCCCGCTCCAGGGGCAGCCCCAAACAGGGCAGGGGGATGCTGGTGGCCTCTCTGAGGGTGGAAGCAAGTGCCTGTGAGTGGCACTGTGTCCTCAGGAGCTCAGGCTGCTGGTCTGATTGCCCTTGGCTGCCCCACTGTAGGAATGTGCCAGAGGTCTGTACCTTCTTGTGATTTATTGCTATGACCGTGCCTTGAATAAAACGACTTCACCCAGCTGCTGCATGGTGTCATCACCCCAACCTGTCTTTTCTGGCACCAGTATAGGGGGAGCCAGTATATATTCTGGCTCCTCTCCAGTGGAGCCTGCAGAAGTACTCCATCCCCTTTTCCCACCTGTGGACTGCTTTTGACCTTGCCTTGGGATGTTCTGCAGAGGGTTCAGTGGCAAGGAAACTTCTTGGACACCCCAGCTCGAGACACCTTGCCACTCACCATGGCCCCCACAGAAACAAACCCCAACAAGTGGACAGAAACAGCAAAGTCGCAGGAGCAGGAGAGCACCTCACTGTACTCTATCAGATGGACTGGCGCAGCCCTTGGCACCATCCCTACATTGGGGATGGGGTGCAGCCCTGGGACAGTCATGTGCATTTCCTGCACACCTTCTGTCAGCACTCTCTCCATTGGCAGGGCTAGCTCAGAACACCAGCAAAGGTGCAGACACTGCCTGAAGGTAGCAGGAGGGTGGCCTGGAACCCCTCTGGGACCACATCAAGGAGCAGGAGCAGCAGGGACCCATCCCATCTGGGTCAGATGGTCCCAAAGGTGAACTGCCCACCAGCAAGTCCCATGGAAGGGAGTGAACATTTTTGGAGTCTTTCTCTAGATTTTGAGCAGACAGTACTCCTTTTTTCCCCTCATCCCTCCCAAAACTTGCTCTTTAAACCTGAATTCCTGCTTGAATGATTTACCTCTGGTTTCAGCAGGTCCCTCCTGCTGGCTCCTCCACAGCTCCTCCAAGGTGAGCCCTGCCTGGCCACTCTGGCTTATGGCACAGGGCAGAAGGCAGAAAGGCAGAAGGCATGGTTAGGGCTTTCCTTCAGGTGAAAAACTGGAAAATTTAAAATCCCAGTCCTGCTTCACATACCCCTACAGAGGCCCCCCCTTGTTTATAATGAGTGATAAACAGGGCTAAACACTGGGGCAGGAGCTCTGGCTGTGAGCGAGGGCTGCAGTTGCCTCTGGCTCATGGCTTTCCCAGCCCTTCCGCTGGGGAAGCTCATCACAGCCTAAGGAGGCTGTGTGAGCCCCATCACGCTGCACCTCCGCCATGCCGGCCCTCAGAAACCCACTGCCTGATTGCAGCCTGCACACTCAGAAGTCCCTCACAGCCAGGGCCAATCAATTGCATGGAGTCTCCCACTGTGCCAGCCGGTGGTGGGCAATGACAGGAGCATCCCCACCAGGCAGCAGCCAAAGCAAAGGGGCAGTCTGTGGGAGCTGTGGCAAACGGCTATGCTGCTGCAGGCAGTCAAAGATGACAGTGCTGCTGGAGGCTGCTGCCCTGGCCCTTCCCTGCAGCGCTGGAGTTGGGGTCCCACTACCAGTCCTGAGGCTGGCAGCTGTGCTCCAAGGCCAAGAAGAGCTGGAAAACTTATTTTAGCAGTGACCCAAAGGGGGGATTTCTTTGCATTAAGATCTCTGCTGCTCTCCTTGCCCTTCACAGCCCCTCACACATTGCCCCGTGGAACAAGCCCCATCCTAAACATTCCCCAAGGCAGAGCAGCATGCCTTTCCCAGGTTGTTCACCCTTGTTTCCTGTGCCAGGGCTGGGATTTCCAGCCTTTACGAGATGCTATTACAGACCCTGAGCTGGCTTCCCCACTCTAGGCACCGTTCTTCAGCATCAAGTGCCGAACTCTCCCAGGGCTGGAAACCCACCATGTCAAAGCTAGAACATGCCCAAGAAGGAGGAGACAGGACCTCCTGCATCCTCACCAGCTGCTCCCTGGGCAAGGCTGATGGGGCAGCTCTGCAGTCCAGCTGGCAGGGTGGATGCTGCATGGAGAAGGCAGGAATTCACTGTGAGGCCATGCTCTGCTGCTGTTGGCAACCAGCAGCCGGTGACCAACACCAGGTGAGCCGATGCTATGCCAAAAAACAAAAGCAGCAGCTGAACAACAGAAAAGGGATTTTAAGGCTGATTGCTTAAGATTCTAATTCCATTAGAGGCTGTTATATTTGAAGGGCAATGAGTAATCAGTAGCAGGATGTCTCTGCTAGCCCCTCCTCTGCCCACCCATTCAATTACCATGCACAAAAACTTCCAACAGGCATTTGCTGCTGGATGCCTTCTCACGTTAGTTTAGCTGCACTACACAAGTGTTCCCAGTGACTAGTATCTCCAAAGCTAGAGCCAACAAGAAACCAGTAAACCCCTCTGTCATACTCCTTTTCTGGCCTGCTTGGGCCTTTTATATTAAAATAAACATAAGGCATCAACAGAAAGGGCTAAGATTCACTCTTGTTCTTTATTAAACAGTCCAGCTGG